ATAATAGGAAGATAAAAAAAAAAAAAAAAAAAAAAAAAAAAAAAAAAAAAAAAAAAAAAAAAAAAATTTTTTTTTTTTCTTTGACTCCTTCCTTTCAAGTACGATTTCCGGTTTTTCACCCACCCTTACGAGGTGTCCCGTGTAATCTCGTTGCGGGGAAGGGCATCTCTTTGTGGGGTTGATTTGGAAATTCGGAAAAAATAAAGTGAAAAGGAAAAGGAAACGACCGTGGATTCAGAAAAACCGTCAACTTTAACGCGGATAGATGAACGTGATTTTCGTCGTCGTCGTCGACGAGAGATAAGATATTGGGGGGATGGACAACAGTTTTTTCGATTCCAACGCAGATAGGATGATGCGATGTCAAAGCATGTGCTGTACACTTTCTTATCGTTGATTATCGGAACCTCGCAACCGCGATCCTTCTCTCCTCAGGTGATGATGAACCAAAAAGATTCTTTGTTTCTGAGATTTTTTCTCCGCACATTATCATCTCATCGTAATTTGAATTTCGGGCATATCGAATGCCGCTGATCAATGCACGGGAGAATTAGAATTCTCTCTCTCTCTCTCTCTTTTTTTTTTTTTTTTTTTTTTTAGAAAAAAAAAAATCGACATCGTCATCATACAAGATATTGCATTGCATGAAATTAAAGTTTTGAACGTCAAGGTTGTATAAATTTGCTTACACCTTGCCTTTTGCGTAGAGGGCATGGGAGTGAACGGATGCACCAAAAAAGTTAAATTATTAAATTAAACGAAAAATTGAATGGTGAAATCGAACACGATAACATCGATGCAGCGAATGCGAATGCGCGCAGTGTAAAAAAAAAAATGCGGGTGGATATTCCCAAATAAATTTTTCTTTTTGTTTTCCCAGAAATGATGACAGATAATCACCGGAGACGTCAAGTGAGGATTCCTGCAATTTTCGAGTACTCCCATTGTCTTGCATAATCATCAACTTCACGCTTACACATTATTTACTGACGATGATACTTCTAAACTGACTGCCACTGTATGTGGATTGCAGATGAGAGATTAATCGGAGGTTTACACAAGATGAAAAATTTCAAAAGGCGAGATGAAGTGTCACTCGCATGCAAAAAAAATTTTTAAGGTTTTTGGTTAAGAGAGGAGGAAAAAACTTGGGTACAACTGGTTTTACGGTGCGAGTTTAAAACCTTATCATTAAATGGATATACTGTAGGTTTGTTATTTATTTACTTACAGTATTCGTGAAATTCATACGTTAACATGACGACGGACGTTGGTCGTTTTTATTTTTTTTATATATTGATATGTATGCACCGTGTACAATATATATTTTATATTTTTACTTCATTATCATATATTTTATTTATTTATTTATTTGTTTATTGCAAAAAAAAAAAAATTGTTTCTCATTCGGGTGTTCACCGCATCGGCCGTTAGTGACGCACCTACACGGAAACCGTACACATTCCCGTTCGCGTGGAGAGTTTTTTTTTTTTTTTTTTTTTTACCCCCCCGCGAGAAATCTTTAGGGAAGAGGAAATAATTGCCGTGTCGTCCGATGCCGAACAAAAGCAAAAAATTTTAAAATTCAAAAAATAAAAATAAAAATAAATAAAATTGGATTAATGGCCTTTCTTTCGCCGTACCCTTTCATGCAGGCCACGGACTCAAACAATAAAGTCTCGAGTTTTCGCGTGTCAATGATGATATCCTATGAAATTAGAGTTTTGGTGTGGGTAAACTTTTTTCGTTGATGCACCATTCATTTGCATCCCTGAAAACTGAGGGGGTTTGGTGAAGCGAGAGCGAACATTGGAGCGTCAAAATTAAGCAAATGAAATGCGTTTGACGGTGTTTTGGTGGGTGGGTGAGTGGATGGGCGGCAAATTTCGCATGAACCTTGCGCTCGGTATCGAATCGTGCCTCGTAAATCCAACAATAGCCGAACCTATATTTGTATATGCAGCTATCCTTATTGTTTCTTTTCGTAAATTCCTGAAAACAATGAATAAATAAATATGTAAAAAATAGATAATTTGGCGAAATCGTTTGGGGCGCAACGTTGTTCCTTGAGGCAAACACTTTTGCACGAATGATGGTAAAAGTGGATCGTGGTTTGGATAATGAGAGGGATTGTTCGTGCGGGTGGTCTTTTTCCTGCGGAAATCATGGTTCGCTGCTTCCTTGTTTGTCTCATTCACGTCGGACGTTGCCAATGTTTGTGGACGTCTGACCATATATGAACTAATGATTTTTTGTTTTTGTTTTTGTTTTTTTTTTTTTTATTTTTGCAAGCGATAAATAGGTATATTGGTGGGGATGTGAGAACGGAGAATCGCATTATTGAAAACGGTCATTCGCTGAAACAAAGAAAAAAAAAAAAATACCTGTTGACATTCGCCTCGAATTCAAAAATGTCATTTGATACCGGTTCCGGTAAAAATCAAGACAAAAAAAGAAGAAGAAGAAGAAGAAACGGGTAATATTAAAAAATGTTAACTTTAACCTTGTTCTCATCCTTAGAAAATTAAATTAAATCCACAATACCTGTTTGGTTATCCTAGGAATCGACTTCCCAACGGGATTCTGATGGGAGTGAATCCGTGTGAATTGCACCATCAAAAAACTGGAAACTCCTTGGGAATAAGCTTGTTTTTTTTTTTAGAAAAATTTAATGACGAAAACCCAGAACGAATAGAGAGGGACGATCTTCAAAACATTGAATTCTTTTGATGGTCTGAAAGCTAATTTGGACATATTCGTTCGACTTTTGCGGAAAGGATGGGCATGTCGATCATCAATGAATAATGCCCTCATTCGACTATTGATCCTCCGATATTCCGTTACGACCATCAGCCCACCAAAAGTTATGATATCCACATAGTCGGCACCCAATTTAAACTAGATCGTTTCACCATTCTTTTTTTTTTTTTTTAATACTCTATACACAACATTTTGAATCCGAATGTCAAATTATAAAAAACAATGAAATTCGGACCTTTTCTAGTTCAATGTTACAATATGATATCATTTAAAGCAAGAAACCTAACACAAAAATTTTATGTTAAGACTAATAATTATCATTATTTTGGAAATTCTATTGTTTTCCCATCGCTATACATCGAATTCTGTAACTAGAATGTGTGATACTTGGCGTTTTACAATGGACAATTCGGGCTTGGCAACCAATTATATTCACCCTTAAACTACACCCATAATAATAATAATAATAATAATTTTTTACGCATAATACAGTGCACATGTTCTGATCCCCTTTCCGAGGCATGAAGAGAGGTACAGCGCTTGTTTGTTTATTAACCTTTATATTGGTGATAAAAAAGTTTAATGTAATAAAAATATACGTATACAGTAAATGTAATGTACATTTATGTATTTGTTTATTATGTTTATTACTATTATGTTTATTTGCTTACAGTATATACACAAATGGGATGTACATCGAATAAATGGAGTATACTGTATGTTACATATAGTTACATTGACTGCTTTTACAATTTTTACAATGCCAATTTAAGCGCCGGTTGCCAAACCATTATCACTAATTTAACCATACTCACAATGATGTCCAGTGACTTTCGGACAACAAAATTGTTTATTTACTTTCTCCATTGAATCCTGCGTGTGACCTAACAGCAATCGGGTGAATATTGTGAATTGATGAAATTTCCCTAGAATTTTGCACGGACCGGCATGTCGTCTAGTATCGCCTAAACGAGAATCTCTCTTTTTGTATGTCGCATACACATTTAACAGTACATTCACTACAGCTCACCGTGCACATAATTTAATAATCATCGTATAAAAAAAAAAAAAAACAAGCGGCCCGACACATAAATATTTATTTTAACGTTTACCCTAATACATTCAGGTGACACGTTTTCTTCCCTTTTGTTAAAATGTATACGCTCACGTCAAGCATACACGCAACCAACCTTTAGATTGGATTTTCTATGATAAGGAAAATTTTTTTCTTTATCTTTCGATCTTTCAACGAGGCGATTGTCGAGATATACAGTATCTTTATCACCAAATAAATATCACAGGTCGTCGTCCACCACATGCGGGGACGGAAGCGAGACCAGACCTGAAAGACAAGGACGACGGTTCCATTCACAAAATAATAATATACTATGCATAAAGCCAGTTTCGACGTCAGGTATCGACATGCTATTATTCGCTAGTGTGAACAGTGCAGGCGGGTCGAGCGGAGTTTCTTATCAACTGTATTATTATAAATTCCAGTATAAAAATTTTTTATGAGAAAAAAAAATTTTTTAAAATGAATTCAGTACGATCTTAATTTAAGAAATATATACGATGGTTACACCCGTGCTACCGAAAATGATATAAAATGGTGCCGCTAATCCCTCCCATTTCTTTTTCGTGTCATAACGGACGCAAAAAAGGATTTCATCCGCAAAAAAAAACAAAAACCCTCAAATATTAATAAAAATTCATTTTTTATCTCTCTCACAATCCATCTCTCCTCTGAGAAACTAAACGGTGTGAAAAATCATTCCTCTTGAAATCGAACGAAAATCAAAAAAAAAAAAAAAACCGAAAAATGTCAGCCATCCAGGAACTCGTGATTATCCAAGAGAATGCCAACGCAGAAAAAATCACTCCAACCGAACCACCAAAGAACCTGATAGTCGAATACCCTCCCAAATTCAACCTCCACGAACTCGGGTCAAAGGCCAAGAATGACGGAGGGAAGAACACGAGAAAACCGCCCAACGCCTTCATACTTTTTAGAAAGAAATATCTCGATGCGCTGCATCGCCTCGGACAAAGAATCCCCATGAAGAACGTCTCCGGTTGGGCCCGTGACGCTTGGAACAAACTTCCACAGTACCAAAAACAGGAGTACGAAGAAATTGCAACAAGGGCGGCTTCGCTTTACCAAGAATGGGCACCACACACTCCCAGCCGCCAAAACCGCTCCTCAACCAAAAAGCGTGATCGAAAGAGACTTCACAAAGCCACGACACCCGCCCAACCTCCTGTCACACAACAACCTCTTCTCGTCACTCCCGACACCCCTTTGCAAACTCCTCCTCCTTTCGGAGAGCCGGTAGAAGAAGTGGTGTATCATCAATCACACATCGTTCCGGTGCCCTCTGGTATAATATATCCCGAGTTCGTTTATTACTACGATTTAAGTGATTTAAGTTTTAATAATGAATATTTCAATGTTAACCTCTGTAACCTTGATTTATTCAACTATATCACTCCTGAAGTTAACACAGAAGAAATTTTCACTTACGATTATTTCGGCTGCCCCCAGAGGGAGTGACAGTGACAAAACCGATTAGGTATTTGAACACTAATTGGAAATTCATTTTTCCACCCCAAAAGTATTTATACTTTGTACATATATGCACCCTAATGCCAAAAAAGACAAACCAAAAAAACTTTTCACATTTCTCAAAAATTCTTAATTTCAAAAGGACACTATTTCTCTTCGTTTTTTCATCGCATTTCACCTTCGAAAAAAAATCAAAAAATTTTCACGTCGGCAAATCATGTCTGTTTCGTGCTCCCCCTTCATGGTCGAATTCTCAGAAATTCTCAACACGCCACTATCGTTCGTTCGTTCCTCCTTTCGTTATCAAACACGCTAAGAATTTTCTAAAATTGAGTCGAAAGACGACCGAAAAAGTATGTAAACCTAATTACGCTACCATCATCTTCCCTGCTTTCCCTATGAAACCCCTTATAAGATTTCGTGATCACGAATTCGTGAATATTTTATTGAGAATTCTTTTGGCACCTTCGCATTTTCATTTCAAAAAAAAATTGGCAAATCTTCTTCCATCGTCTTCCCTTACTCCTGGTTTCCCCAAAAAAATTGGCAAAATTCGCATTTTTAATGATTTTTTCTTTTTTTTTTCTTTCTTAAAGAGAAAGTCGACGACATCTTTTTTGCACCTCACACTCATCACCACCACGAAAAAGTTGGTATCATGTATTTTGTTTTCTCTTTTCTATCTCATGTATTCTGTATTTATATATTTATTTGTTATCATTGTTGGTGTTATTATTATTATCATTATTATTATCTCGTCATTTTTCACATCATTATTATTAAAAGCATATCTACTCATACTTGAACAATGTAAAAAGGTTGACAAATGTTTTTCCTCTGACGACCTCCCAAGATGGTTGGAACAAAAAATGTGCTGCTGCTCTCTTCCCCTCACGATGCGAGGACTTGATGTGATGAGCGTAGAAGTGAAAAAAAAAAAAAAAAAAAAACGACACTCAATCACTCAAGTATGAATGTCAAAGAGGTTTTTTTTTTTTTTCAAGTGTGACTCATGAAGAAAATGACTTCTCCATTTACTAACGCTTTCGGTATTCCCTCGTCTTTATTAGCATTTTTAACGAATTCGCAAAAAAAAAAAAAAAAAAAATGAAAAAAGAAAAAAAACAAAACCAAAACAAACGATCGAAAGGACCGTTCTTTTCGATGGTAATCAATGCATGGTGAAACTTTTGTTTCCTGAACACGCACCAAAAAAAAAAAAAAAGTATTATACAGTCAATTTTCTCATGCGCAGTTTGACTCTTTTTTAATAGGGCGTGAGCTTTCAGATCGAGAGGTTCGCACATTTCAACGCAGTCTCATTATGCCCTTGTTTTCATGCAGCACTTTCTTTTCTTTTTCTTTTCTTTTCTTTTCTTTTTCTTTCTCTTTTTCTTTCTTTCAAAGCTAGTGCTGCCGTATGTTCGCGCATGCAGAATTCGTGATATGCAAAGCATAGATTGCAACGTCGCCCGGTCAGTTCACCGATTTTGATCCGTCCCGTACGTTACGAAACGTTCATTCGGTTAACTGCTGGATGCACCCCTCGTCACCACCACAATGTCAAAATGTCCTGTAGTAACGGTGAAAAATGTGACGTGCATTCATTTTGTTTTGTTTTGTTTTTATTTTTATTTTTATTTTTTTTTTTTCTTCTCTCACAAAACTGAAAGAAAGACCAAGTCTTTGTTAGGGAGAGAGCGCATGATGCGGTATAATGAATGAATGTGTGTGTGTGTGCGTGTATGCGTTGATGATTTCGTAACATGTATGCGCGCGGAATACGCTCCAAAGTGTCTTGCATCCGTTGTCGATTTTGAGGTCTTGTTACGGAGCGGAGCATCATCAGGTGATTTCACATCATCAGGTGTTTTTACGTCACCACCACCACTTTGTCGGATGTTAGTGTTGCCGACATCGAAGCGTGACTTGTGTGACCAAATGACATTCGCACGTGAAAACTAGCAAATAAAATTTTTAAAGGATTGCGACATCGTTAGCCGTCAGTCCGCCAATAAATTCATCTGTTGATTTTCGTCTTGTGAGGTGTCCCACAAAAAGAATATATATATATATATATATATATATTTTTATTTATTTATGTAGATGATGATTCGTCTGGCTGCGTCACAAGAAGTAGTGATCTCAACAATCCTCTTCTCCCCCGCACTTGTTCAAAGTTCAACGCCAGACGTGGAGAACGCTGGGGAAATCGTTCCTTCGTAATCCTTTTTTTTTTTTTTTTTGATGATTCTCTTTGGTCGGAGAATTTCGAATCTGTGGGTGTGTAGGTACACACTCGACGACGAATTCGATTGATAGATTGCTAGATTGCTCTTACCGATTTGGAACCATAGAATTGATTGGTTCAACGTTAGAAAATGGATTTTTTTTTTTTTTTTTTTTTTTTTTTTTCTTTCTCAAGCAGGTGGAGGTGAATGGGGTATTGTCTTATTGTCCCTCACCCGTGATACGCGCGATGGTTCATTTGAGTCATGATGTTCTTGGCAGAACATGAAACAATGTGGTATGCATCCATTTCTAATGTTCAGATGAGCGGCATACCCGGTAAAATATTGTTTTTTATGACATCATGCCTTTTTTTTGTGCATGCGTACAGGAATGTTTCGTGACCATAAAAGGTGCATAACTTCATTGTTCAAGATATATGATCAGGGTAACATTTACACGACATGAAGAATGCTTCTGACTCTGTTCTGATTTAAACGGCGGAATCCTTTATCGTGAGGCTAAAAAAGATGATCATCTCGAAAATTAGGTAAATTAAAGCTACTATTCGATTTGATGAACGCATAAAAGAGATGTTTGATAGATGCCAGCGCGGTAATACACGATAGCTCCTGTTACAGGATTGAATGAATCATAGATGCGCGAGTTTGGAAGTTTGGCAAAGGGTTACACGGTATCACCGAGCCGCATTTTCATAGGGCTATTGTCCTGTTCATGAAACGTAGGCGAATATTAAGGAATTTTGTACGGTGTTGGCTCATCCCACGGCGTCTCGGATGTTTTTCACCGACCATTTATCCAAAAAGAGAACAACCATGTTGACAATCAGCTGATACATGGAAACGAATGAACGAGCGAACGAAGGAAAGAACAAAAGCTCGTCCCAATTTAAATGCAATAAAATTCTATCATCATTCATTCATTATGTTCTTTGTTTTTTTTTTTTTTTTTTTTTTTTTTTTTTGTTCTGCAGCTGACCACGAGGTTTGTTTGTAAATGTGCGTCGCGGATTTTTTTTATTATTTTATTATTTTTTTGCTTGTAACTAACATCTCGCAGAATTATGTTAAGGCGATCCTTAGGGTAAATTTAATTAATTCCTATTACCGCTTTTAGTGCACTCCGACGATTCATGCTTATTTTTAGCGTCATTCTTTTGAGCTTAATTCTATCGCAATATGATGTTGAGTGACGTCGAGTGCCGGTTAGAGTCAAAAGAACATCGCATACATGTACAATTGCTTTCTCAACTTTCCTAATGCGTCGACAACCTTAACTCTAAAAGATATTATCTGAAAGAACACAAATTTGGTCTTATTTACGATCCCAATACATCCGGAATCGACACTGTAATCCTATTATACTTTAAGGTTCGGTCACAAGATTGAGGTAAGAGCATAACTACCGGATTCTGTTCATGAAAGAAGAGATTTTTTGAATTTGTAATCGCTGATCATCGTGTAATCGTTGTATCGCAAGTACAGATTCAGATTTTTATGACGTATGTGGTTACACCCACAGATATGTTGTGTGAGTGAAGTTTCCAAGGAAGATTGCAAAAACTTGTTGGATACATAGTGTGTGCCTCCGTGGAGCTTTGAACCCACACAAATATGGCGTGATGAATGTCATTTTGCACTGACCCTGTAACGTTCTCAGATGACATCTACTAATTATGTGGTTCATATGAGGAAGTTTGCAATGAAATCACTTATTTTGGATTGTAATGGACACCGGTGAGAATCCGAGTTGTGTCGCCAGCCTGCCAAGGCTCGTCAGGTTTCTCAAGTTTTGCGAGATGCAAATTACGATGTATTTTCAAAACAAAGTGAAGTTCTTTAAACACAAGGACCACCACCTATGCACAGGAGTTTACCTTGTTCGGCTCATCTTTTAGGCACCTCCGTTCGCAAATCATTTTACCTCTGATCTCGTCGCACCATACACCTGTTAACCACAAAAAACCTATCAACATTTGGCCTATCCCAATCGAGTTATGCGGTACTTGAGAATAAGGTGCTGCTTCTTAATTACGGTTTTCCTTTTTGAGCAATGTAACGGTTATTGTCCTTGTTAATTAATCTCTATAGATGCAGGATGTATGCTGCTTATCATTTTTTAATTTCATCGTGACCCTTTTCATTTAAATGTTTCCGCCCAAAACATGGGAAAATTCTAGAAGTACAGCTTATTTCGTTTATACTTTTATGGTAATCGCTTCGCAAAAAAAAAAATAAAAAAAAAAATAAAAAAAATAAAAAATAAATTTTTTTGAATTCATCATGTTTCAGGAGTTGGGTCATGCGTAGTTTCAAAACTTCCCTGCATAGACTTGTCGGAAGCAGGTCTTTTTGTTAAACTTCCATTGTCCACCGTGAACAATGAATAGGCGTGGATTTGCCAACGAATAAATGGACACCAAGTACGTAATTTGTGATCGATGTGTGGGTAACAACCACATTAATTGGTGGCCGGTGGTGCAAAACGAAAAGCCCTAAAGGTTTCAATTAAGTTATATTGCAGAAAGATCATTGGTTCTAAGGGGTTTGAAGCACGTCACGCACGTACACACACACTTTATCATTATCATTCAGAATCACGATTTTTTTTTTTTTTTTTTTTTTTTTTTTTTTTGCGGTGGCTCCCCGTCATAGATCGACCTTTGTGTTCTCGCGGCCCAAGTTTTATTGACGATATATTCTACTGCGTGTTATTATACGAAAGCCCCAAGACTATTCGGTACATGTACGGTATTTGGATTAGCTTGAGCGATATGTTGTAAACCCTTGCAGATGACCTTTTATGGTCACCTACCTACAAAATTTGTCGTTTTTTCCCAAGATTTCGGTTTAACTGCGGATTAGAAATTTCTAGAAATTTCTAATAATGGATGAATAACATTTACACATATACTGTAGTATTTAATTCTTTAAAATGGTCTTTAAATATTGAAAAAAAATTTTAAATCATATTGGTATTAGACGTGAGGTTTTATTAACAATAATATTATTGCCGTTATATCAATAATCTCATATAAGCTATACAGTATATTTTCATATAGGTATATCTACAGTAAATTAATCATACCCTATTGTAACTGATCTAAATAAATTTACTAAGTATACTGTCGATCATAAGTAACTATTTCCTAAATCAATAAGTCAACTTAAAAAAAAATTTTTTTAAAAAACTATATCACTAATACTAATTCTTAATACATTGTATAGTCTCTCTCAAATTCTATTAAAACTTCTATATGACAATATATGCTATTTATTAATTTAACAAAAAATTCAAATGAGAATTATTTTAATTCTCTTCTCATTAACATTTTTAACCATCATCCTATTAATCAAAAAATTTTTTTGCTATATTTAATTTCACTACTCATTACATATTTTCTATAAGGTTTTAATCAACTGATATTAATACTCTTTTTCTTTTTTTCAAATTTTTATAATTTTGATTAATGCTTTGGATTATTATCTTTTTATAAAAATTATTCTAAGTTATCTTAATCAAAAAATTTGATAAAGAAAGGTAGAAAACTCTTTTTATAAATTTTAATCATAAAATTAAAATTAAGATTCTATTGGAAACATATCAACAACTAAAATTTAAAAGCTAAAAAATATCATCACATATAAATCTTCAACAAATACTTAATAGTATAATATATATTTTTTTTCTTTAAACTATCAACCTTTTTTTTATAACAAAAATAATTAAAAAATATTCTTGTTTAAAAAAATAACAGAAATTTAACTTATCGAAACTACTAATTTCAATAATTATTTATAAGAAGAAATTTTAAAATTTTATTTGTATACTTGCTTTTAACTTTAATAATATATTATTTAATAATTTTTATACTAATACTTATATTATTTTTTTTTTTAAATTTCTTATAGTTCAAAACTTGTTATATTGTAATTTATCTTTATTATTTTAATAATTTACTCATCTTGTTTTATTGTCATACTGTATATTTAATTAATCTTTTACTTACAGATATCTTTGAATCCAGTAAATAACTGTAGACTTAAAGCAATCAATATAAGTTACTATTTTTAAAAAACTTATTTGGATTTTTTATTCTTAATTATTCATATAAAAGTATAATTTTATAGTACTTATAAGGTAAAAAAATTACAATTTTATTATAATAGTAATTGATTATCTAACATTAGATTTAAAAATCATACAAATTCAAAAATATATAAGCCATTAAAATTCATGTTACTCTTAAACTATCAAAATTTTAAGAGAATATTATTAAATAAAAATATATACAGTATATGTCAAATCAATTATTTATGACCAATAGTATAATTATATCTATTTAGTAGTCATATAATTAATACACAATTATATATAACATATTTTAAACTAGTTGATAAAAAACTTATTAAACTTATATTTGATAATTATTAATTGATCCTGTTATATATATACATATATCTATTAAAAATATATATATTCTTTAATATATTCTTTTATACTATTGCTTATATTTTAAAAAGAAATATACTTTTTTTTTTATTATTTGTAATATTAAATCAATCTCAATAATAAAATATAAAATTAAAGTATTTCAAGTTTAAAAAAGTAGAATTTTTAAAATCTATTAAAACAAAAAATATTTATTATTGAGTTACAGTATGTAATATTGAAAATTGAAAAATATTAATAGTATTTATATAAATTTAATTAAAATTTATTGAAATATTATAAAAATTTAAAATATTATTTATAAAAACAAAAAAATATAAAATATAAACTTTTTTAAATAAATATTTACAAAAAAATTTTTTTTTAGATTCAAATTTTTAATCTAAAAAAGTAAATTTAGATATATTTAAAATAGTTTTTATATACAAGTTTATCAAAATTTAATTAAATATTCTAAAAAGTTAATATATTATTTTTTAAAACAAAAGAATAAAAAATATATAATTATTAAAGAAATTAATTA